ATAATAAAAATTTTAATACATCCTGATGAAAATAATGAACATTTAAAGGGTTACATAAGCGAACAAACTGATATAAATACAGAAAACCAGATTTTACTTTTAAAAGAGAATTTATTTTCTGATGTTGTTGGAGAAGATACCAGAGCAGGTGGTTATCCAAATACAACAGAAGAGGAATCACTGTTTCTTTTCAGTAAAGAAAACAATAATGTTACAGTTATTGCAGAACCTGAGCTTCCAAAGTTCCCAGAATTTTCCAATTTAGTTCAAGTCGAAAATGATGCTTCTCAGGCTAAACTTTCTTGCAGTATTGGTTATGTGTGTAAACGTCGCATTGAGAAGGTCTCTCTTTACAGTGTTCTAATGAAAAAATCTGTTGAAAGTTTTATACAGTTTATAAGAAATATTCTCAAGAGTGTATCTAAGGAATGTTTGCATCTAAGGGAAATGACATTTTCCAAAAAGGAGACATGCCAAATGGTAAATGTTTTTCAAACTGTTGCTGCCTCAACTTTAAATTCTCCTACTCAAAATAAAAATTTACAAATTCACCATGTAGAAGAATTGATGGCAAAAAGTGATTCATTTTTAACAGAAACTGAACCAAAAGTTCAGCAGTTACACCAAAAAAAGTGAGAATCAGGAAAAACTCTAAAACTCACGAACTTCAAAATAAGGCAGTTTTAAAATCATGAAATTTCAGCTGATATTTTCGTAAAAATTTAGAAAGAACTCTACTGAAAATCGAGAATTTTGTAAATGTAAAATTGCTTATGGAAACCTATATGAGGAACTTCTAGTTAATCTATAATTTTCGAATTTTGATAGAAGAAAGATTATAAGGTACATATTTCCGAAAATATCTCAAAATCACGAATTTCAATCTAGTCTGTCAGTCTATCGTCAAAACTCAAAAGTATTACAGATAATTAGTACGAATATAAGAGACTTGAGGTAGGGCATTATAAAGTGGACTCAAGAAAGACCATATTATAGAAAAACTCTTAAAGTAATAAAGCGCTTCTAGTTGTTTTAAAATATTCAAATTTGTACTGATCTTTTGGTAAAAATTCAGAAAATCTGAAAGTCACAAGGTATTCCAAGTTTGCCTGTCTCTTCATCACAATTCAAAAGTATTACAACACTTGAGCTAAGACCTTCAAATTTGGATTGAAAGAAGATCATACGACATAATTTCGTGAAAAAATCAAAAAATCAAAAATTTAAAAAAAAAGTACCCCGTGGGATATTATTTAAATTGAATTATTACTGGGAGTACATAATAGAATACCGGCGCGCGATTAGCCCATGACTATTCTTTTTTAATATCCTGCATTATTATGAATGTATAATTTTTTTACTTCATCTTATTACAAGCGGTTTTAAAATGATTAAAAAACGTAATCACTCCAATACAATTACAAAATTAACATCTACAAAGCTCGTAAAATTAAATTAAATTAATTTTAAATTATTTCGCACAACTTCGATAAGTATTGTTACATTTATTTAATTTAACTTTTTAACTATATGTACAAGTTATTTTTTCGATACAATAAAAACAATTAGTGGGTACATGTCCCGTTAATTGGATGTTGTTCGGACTTTTTCAAATATAATTACGTACAATGTATTACAAAAATAAATTAAGACAACAAAATACACACAGATATATAAAGATGAAAATGACTTATTTCCGTTAATTTCAAGTGCTCTACGGCATCAGTTCGGCTCAATTTACTGTGTAAGTTATTTCTGAATTTTATCAAGTCAGTTATACTTTGACAGTCTGTAACAATACCTAGTTTTTAGTATCTTTAAAAGTTGCGAGTGTTCTGAGTGACCTTTATACATACAGTAGTAATTTAAAAAGAAAACAAGCAGCATCATCTTGCACGATCATTATGATAACAGCGTGTTAAGAGAAATGAACTAAACAATTTCCTTCCAAATTACTTGCCGCTTTTATATACCTCTTGCATCATAAACGTCGAAGTTCTACAGAAATGAAATTGTTTTGTGCCTTTCTTCTGGCATTAGTTATTACAACTAAAAGCAGCTCCGGTAAGTTAATTTTTGTTTTAATTCAGTTAAATTTATTTGACATTTTTACAAATATACGCAGTTGGGAATGAAGGGGATTCGTCCGAACAGGATGACGGTCTTCCAGGACGAGAGGCGTTAAATAACTTCCCACTAATTGATGGGTAAGTAGATCTTTTGAGTACATAATACACAATAGAAATTTATCTAGGAGATAAAAACAATTGGTATATTTGGTTTGAAAATTTTAACTAGATACTCTAAACCTACCAATCATTCATTCAATTAACGAAAGAAATTGGTACTTCTAATTAATATTATGCGTCATGTTCACGACGAGAGCTATCAAAATTTATTATTCCTTACAAATCGTTGATTAAAGTGTGTTAAATGTTCGTTTATCAACTAAATGCTATATATGTACATAATTCCATTTTATTACTCAATCCTTACTTTACATAAACGTGTTTAGATGATAATAAAATAATTTTTATTTATATTTTTTATGGGATGGTTCCCAGTGTTATCCAATTTTAAAGATAAGATAATCTATTTTGGTAAATGCTTTCGCGGTCAATAGGTGAACTAATGCTGTTCTGATACGGGTGTAAAGGCATTCGTCGGTGGGAGTTGCTTTCTAACGTTTCGCTAGCACGAGTGGCGAACTTCTTCAGAGGTCCTACCATCTCAGATGCTGGATATGAACCAATTCTACCCGAATCAGGATAGCATCAGTTCATAACTTATTTTAATTACATAATCCGACAGGCACAACGATTTGGCTTGGAACTTGAGAAGGCTCGTACGTAATCAACTGGACAAATTCGACTTTTCAAAAAATTTAATCGATGATCCATCATGGGGAAAAGTTGCATGTAACACCTGCTTCACTGACCTTCCTAGACTAAGAGCGGGAAAAGTTGGGGGACAAGTAAGACTTAATAAATAATTTTTAACTTTACATAAATTACAAGTCAGAATCAAATTGCTTTCTGTGTTTCATTTATTTCCATAGAGGACATCTTCAGGATTTTTTTATAAACGGATCTGAGAATGTCTTGTGTGAAAATGAAAGAAACAATTTAATTATCTACTTTTTATAAAACACGCGGTTATTTCTGCAAAATTGAAGAAATATTTAATTGTTTATCGAAATAACGTAACACATTCTGATTCGCTAATATGATTTAAGTAGGTACCAATACTTCTAACGTTCCTCCGGGAATTGTTACTTGACTGCACGGAGAATATGAAAAACGAAAATATACCTAAATAGTAAAGCGGTATTTTCAATTTATCCCCCTAGTCCGTTTTTCTTTTTCTTAAAATAAAATCCCATCAGAAATAAATTTACTAGGTATTTTAGTTGATATTACGAATTTATAAATTCAGTCATTTACAATCGAAAATTGTAATTTTTGCGTTGTCATAAAAATTTAGTTTTTTTTGTGTGTTATTAAGTTTGAATTAGTTATAAAGGAAAGTAAAACATTAGAAAATTATATTATTTAAACAACAATTTACCATTAATTAACCACTTATATACCCTTAGTAAAAGGAATTTAATCGTTAATGAGAATTTCGTAGACTAATTTAAACTGCCTTTTTCAGTTTTATTTAATGTAATTGCTATGTTGTAATGATTTCAGTTACCTACTTTTTTATTTTTTAAACGATTAGTTTTGGGTTGCTTTTGGAAGCTGCGAGACTCAGTATAAGGATGCTGTTCAGGTGGCTTTAGATCAAATTGACGTTATCAAAAATTTAATTCGTAAATACCATAATGATCTGGAATTCGTCGATTCATCAGTAGGTAAGGATAGTGAATGGAAGCGTGCATATACTTGTCTTTTACTGCTGACAGTTTTGTGATATAATGTAAACGCTAGTCGATGTGCAAAACATTAGATACATTTTATGAATTCATTTATTATTGATAAAATGCCAATGATATAAATATTTTTTAATGTTTCCTTAACTGAAAATTTCATTAGGTTCCATAATAACTTGAAATTCGTTATAACCACAATAAGTTCGTCAATTGGAAGACTGGCTGAACACGTACCGTCACTCTTCCCTGTTCTGATTCAAAATTTTAGCATTTCACTTCTGCCCTTCATTACTCCTGTTCCTGCTACTAATATCTCTGTCACTAAAATGAAAATTGAACTTTTTCTGGTCAGTATTCTTGGATTTATTCATTCCTAAGTTTGGTTGCTTTATCAAAATTAGTTACTTAGTTTTAAGTACATATAATGCAAACCAACATTGCTTCTGGCTGATTAAATTTATCTTTATCATAAAGTCGTCAGTCCTAAGACTAGTTGGATACGCACCTTCACTCTTTCCTATCCTGAGCTAATCTTCGCATTTCTCTAAAATTAGGACAACCACAATCCTTAACCATCAACTTTTAACTTTTCCAATTTTCCTACTTGCCTCATTGTTCTAACATTCCACGCTCCGACTCGTGAAATATTGCACCTACCTCTATTGCACTTATTGATGACATACCCCGAGGTAGTCCCCACGCGGACATCCGAATGAGGGAGCAGTTTACGTCCAGAGTGCTTTACTCCAAAGGACGCCATCATTTTAGTTTGGTGTGTTTTACTTGGGATATCATAATGTGATGGTTTCTCGTTGCCTTCCACATAAATTTATAATTGCAATAATTTATTATCTATTTGTCCAACAAGTCTTTCAATTCAAAGAGGATAAATCACTGATTAAGTTGAAATTTAAAACATCTCAGACTAAAATATAAAATTAATATCACAAGAACACATTGAAATACTTGTTATAATTAAAATGAGAAAAGACTTTTAGTCTCAGTTTCATCTAATTCCGTTACTTTTCTTTGTTTTATTTTTCATTTTAATTTTAACAAGTATTTTAATATATACTTATGATATTAACTTTTTAATTTAGTCTTCGATGTTTTAAATTTTAACTTAATCTGTGATTTATCCTGTGATGATGTTTGCAATCTTTGCAATCCCATTTGAATTGGAAGACATGTCTGACAAGGTATCCTACTGTGATATTTCTCACTCTCCTTATTGACTTACACTTCCTAGTATCTCCTCCTCATTCCTGTAGCCATCCTAGATGTCGAAAGTCTTCTAATTTTTTGTCTCCTATGTTAAAAGTTTTAACTTAAAACTTTTATTAGATCCACGAGAATCCTCCTCCATTTGAGGTATCTCTTGCACTTTATTGTGTCGATAGGTATACTAAGGGCAATCAAAAGAAAAAAAATCGCCAGTCTCATAGCAGTCGAAGGAGGCCATTTAATAGACAGTCGAATGTCGGTTCTGAGAATGTTCTACGAACTTGGAGTACGATATCTGACTCTAACTCAGACTTGCAACACACCATGGCAAGTATATTTATTTTAACTGTTGTTATTTTTTGGTGAAATATTTGAAAATGCAGTTAAACATGTATTAAAAGAAACGCTTGGAGGATCAGACAAAATCTTATTTCCCTTTCGTTTTTATTTTCAGGTCGGACGCATCGCCAATTGATGAAACAGATGAATACCGTAAAAATTTAACTGCTTTTGGAAAGGTAACATAAACAAATATTTACTTAGCAGAAAAACATAATCTTTTTGGGTTTCTTGTGGCTTTTGCACGTTTGCAAGCCAGTAGATCCATTTCACAAGATCGCAAAACGATATGCATGACATTTAATCATCCTTTAGTGCTAATTTACGGCTCTACTTAAAAATTCAGTGCTCCATTTTTATATGGAAATTAGTGGTGGTTCCGAGAAATCATTTAATATGCCATTTTGTTTCCAAAAGTAAGAGCGGCATTATTTAGTTCTATTCTCCATTTTTTCCCCTTAATTTGGGTATAACTAAGCAAAGAATCTAGACACCTCCACCCCTTAAGTGTCTAGATTGTTTGATTAGTTTTTATTTAGTTCTTTTTAAGTGTTTCTGGAACAACTATTACTTACATTCGTAATTATATTTCACAAATAGTAGAATTATGCTTTCTTCTTTCAAGCATCCAGATGTCACGTTCAGAAATGTAGACCACCTTAACTTAAAAACAGTTTGGTGAAAAATGTAGTGATACATTTGTTCGCAATGCTAAGACTTCTTACCAGCATTATTTTTTATATTGCGTTTCGGTGAGGGTGAGACAGAAGAATGAATAACTTAACGAAATGTGAAGGCAATTATTTACGCTAGTAATAGTTCAAATCTTCCCCTAAAATTATTTCTGGATCTGTCCTTATTTTCACTTACTCATTCGTAAACAAACGAGATTCTTATGGCATTTTTGAGAAAAAGTATATTGAAAACGTACTATACTCCGCTCCATTCCAAAATACGTTCCTGATTTTTTAGCTTGAGAAACATGTAGCACTTTCACGTTCTTGAAATCAGGAAAAATTGCTCTTGCGGCGCAGTATTACCCATACGGGCTTTGAGAAAGCACGGTACTCCTTCCCGGGAGTTTACTGTCCTCGCCTTTGACTTGGGTGGCAATTCACACCCGGGAGCAGTGGTCTAAAATTAGGACTAGGATTACAATTTTTATAGTGATTTATTTTGCTTAAGATCATTATTTCTAAAATAACAAATGACCGTTAAAAGATTGCCTCGATTCGAGAAAAAAGAGCAGACATTTTTGTGAACCTCCCTTTTCTGAAAATCCTGGGTCCTGCCCGGGAATGAATGCCGTATGACGTACTTTTCCTCCTTGGTTCTTCGTTTGCTTAATTCCGTGTAATTACAAATAACAGTGTGATTTTTTTTGATCTGAACTGTTTTACCATGGAACGTGCATCTTCTTCTTTGCAGGCCGAAGATTCAAGAATAATAATTCACACAAATGGCCTTTTTCATTCAACAAAAGTTCATTATTATCCTCATTTATCGTAAAATAAAATTGTACTATTAATGCATTGCATTAAAGAAATTATAATTTTTCGAACTTTTCCGAATAACAATTAAAGTGTGAATGAGCGGCGCGGTCGGCAACTAATCTTAGGTGGGGTCTGGATGTTTTTGAAAATGTTTACCGAGATTCAGAGAAAATATACTCCTTCCTCCAAAAAACGATAAGAGTGACGTTTAAAGCTCAAACATATCTTGTTACCTACAGAAAAATATTTTTTAAATTTCTTTGGGTAATTTACTTTCAAAAAATTTTGGCAGTCCACTTTTTGACTTTTTTTAGTCCGGACTTGGCCAGCAGTCCACCAGTTGTCGACCCTTGGTCTAGAGTTTTAAGGTTTAGAGCATTGCTTAGCATTCAGGAGGACACCGGTTCGATTCCGGTTTCGTCTGACAGTCCTTGGATCAATTAGACAGATGCTTGGGCAGTAATATTCCCCAGATAGTCAATATTTCACACTTTTCTGTCTTCATTTCGTCGGCCTGATCTTTCTCACACCAACCACCACCCAGTTATAACCACCATTTCTAAAAGGAGGCTGAAGAGGGTCTTCCGTCCAACCCTCTGCTGTAGTCTGGAAGGACTAACCGCCTTTCAGTACTAGTAGCTGATACAAACGGAAATACTCAAAAGTTTTTAAGTTTTTTCGATGCATGAGTCAAACTAGCACTTTCCGATACCCATCTCATATGGATAACTGTTTAATTAGAATATTTTCCAGATATAACGATTTTATTTTCAGAAAATAATTCTCGAAATGAACCGTCTAGGTATGATGGTAGATTTGTCTCACGTTTCGTACGGTGTGATGTTCCAAGCCCTCAATATTTCTAGAGCACCCGTTATTTTTTCCCATTCTGCGGCATATTCGGTTTATGCGCATCATCGAAACGTACAAGATAATATACTTAAAAGAATGGTAAATCCTGTGCATTTTTAAATAGATTAAATTTTTAAATAATAAATAATTTAAATTTTTAATTTTAGAAAAACAATGGTGGTATAGTAATGGTACCCTTTTACACCGGCTTTATATCAAATGGTTCAGCTAATGTAGATTCTGTTGTTGGTATGTATTTTAAAGTAATTGTTTTTAAAAAGGGCGCGGGCGCGGCGTTGTCGAGCTACAAAAATTTGTTCTTCAAAAAGCAATCAATAAAGTTACAGGGCCTCCAACCCGAAATAGGTGTTGTGATTTAAGCTGACGTAAACGATGCACTTTGCGTAGGATCCCCCCATTCCAGTTATGCATTTCTTGTAAAATTGTAAACTTACAAGTTACTTAGAATTTGTGAGATTTATTTCTCTATGAGCAGCGACCCTCTAAAAAGTTATGGATGGAGCTGCGAATAACCAAAGTTCTCTCCCCAAATGCCCAAAATACCCTATTCACTCTATTTAGACTTTAAACGATTTTGCTTTTCCATTTACTTCGATTCTTTTAATGTCTTTTCTTAAGTATATTCTAACATTATTGTAAAAATCTGATTTTCAACTTCGCAATCAAACGTTGGTTTTTGATGCTGAAATCAGTGGCAGATTTAAGTTCGATTGCACTCTAGGCCCCCTTTGAAATAACGTCTTTTAAGAATCCAAATGAATATCAAAAATTATAGTTTCTTGTGGCATAGGATTAAAATTGTCGATTCAATATTCACAGAAAATTAACAATGAAACTTAATTGCCTATACATCCCTACAGTATATTATTTCAAATCAGTTTCATAGACTTTTGTAACAATAAAAAATTAATGGGGGCCCATGTTTGGTCGAGGTTTTTAACATTAACNTTACAATATACATTAAAGTACTATTTTCATCGACTTTTTTTATGAATATGAATAAAAGTTACAGTATATATGTGTTCAGGGATTTTTTATAAAATCATAAAAAGAAAATAATTATAAATTTTAAAACTGAATAAGTATTTTGTATTTTATTGTATTCCTGAATAGCTCTAATAAGGCAAAATACGTATTGAGTTTATCAGTAAAAATTGTAAAACGTAAAAAAATTGTTTGCTTTTTTAATTAAGTAGTAATTTTTAAACTACAATAGAAAATTTTAATTGTTTTTAAGAAAAAAAAAATTGTTTTGAATTGCACGTGAACAATAAAAATAATTTTTAAATATCGTAAGCTAGAGTGTCAGGAGGTTTGCAATTAATTAAACCAAGAGAACTTTCCCCAAATACTATAACACTATGAATTTGAGTTTTGCATTGAAAATGCTCACAATATAAGTGGGAGAAACATGTGACTACGATCGTTCGTGTGTAGTAACATGTTTAAAATAATAAAAATAGTTATAAGTAGGAGTTACGTAGGTATCTATTTAGTTTTGTATTTCGCAGACTGGTAGGTAGGGGTTGAACGCAAGAACGCAAGAACACTAACACATCAAGAAATGTGCAATTTGAAAATAAGCAAGCCCAAATAGACTAGTCATAATGGCAATTTTTTGTGTAAAAGATTGGTTGACAATTGGAGGTTTTTCTCGAGTATTCTGTCCTATGTGGGGAAATCCGAAAAGCGTTTCAATTGAGCATGCAAATTGTTTCTTTTAATATGCATGAACTCAATATTTATGTGAATATAAGAAAAATGTATTTTTTGTAGGTACTTTCGAAATAACTTATACAAACTTATGCAGTAGCACAGCCACAACTATCGTTACAGCTGTGCAACAGCTGTTACATTTTTAGGTTATCATATTGTCAAAATGACATTAATTGTTTATAAATAAGTTTAGGAATACCCGAAAATTAAAAAAGTGGTCTTTTTTAGTTAATATAATAAAAATGTAGTGACAAACAATGTTTTGTATGTAAGGTCGACAGTGATACATATTTGATGTCCGTAAAAATTAACAACTGTATGGAATAATTGTATTAAGCGTGAGTTTTGCGAATATGTCTTTCCTAAGAGGTTCAGCTAATTATGTTTGGTGTACAACAAGTGTGTTGGGCAAAGGTGCAACAGGGGCTGTTTATCAGGGTGTCAATAAATCGAATGGAGAGCCTGTAGCAGTAAAAACCTTTAACCAAGTTAGTCATATGAGACCACAGAATGTACAAATGAGAGAATTCGAAGTACTTAAGAAAGTTAAACATGAGAATATTGTTAAACTGCTGGCAATTGAAGAAGAGCAAGAGGGAAGAGGCAAGGTGATTGTGATGGAGTTGTGCACAGGTGGTAGTTTGTTCAATATCTTAGATGATCCAGAGAACACTTTTGGGTTGGAAGAAAAAGAATTCCTGTTGGTTTTGGAGCATTTAACTGCAGGTATGAAGCACTTACGAGATAACAATTTAGTACACAGAGATCTAAAGCCTGGAAATATAATGAAATTTATAAATGATGATGGAACTACTGTGTATAAACTAACAGATTTTGGTGCTGCTAGAGAACTTGAAGAAGGTCAGCAATTTTATTCTCTATATGGCACAGAAGAATATTTACATCCTGATATGTATGAACGTGCTGTACTACGTAAACCAGCTGCTAAAACATTTGCTGCAACTGTTGACCTTTGGTCAATTGGTGTGACTTTATATCACGTTGCCACTGGTAATGTACCATTTCGACCTTATGGTGGTCGACGTAATAAAGAAATTATATATCATAAAAAGTTTTTGATGAAGGAACCAACTTATTGTCTAGAAAAGTAGTTTATGTTTTTCATATTAATTCAGTTAGCATAATAAAAATTTTAATACATCCTGATGAAAATAATGAACATTTAAAGGGTTACATAAGCGAACAAACTGATATAAATACAGAAAACCAGATTTTACTTTTAAAAGAGAATTTATTTTCTGATGTTGTTGGAGAAGATACTAGAGCAGGTGGTTATCCAAATACAACAGAAGAGGAATCACTGTTTCTTTTCAGTAAAGAAAACAATAATGTTACAGTTGTTGCAGAACCTGAGCTTCCAAAGTTCCCAGAATTTTCCAATTTAGTTCAAGTCGAAAATGATGCTTCTCAGGCTAAACTTTCTTGCAGTATTGGTTATGTGTGTAAACGTCGCATTGAGAAGGTCTCTCTTTACAGTGTTCTAATGAAAAAATCTGTTGAAAGTTTTATACAGTTTATAAGAAATATTCTCAAGAGTGTATCTAAGGAATGTTTGCATCTAAGGGAAATGACATTTTCCAAAAAGGAAACATGCCAAATGGTAAATGTTTTTCAAACTGTTGCTGCCTCAACTTTAAATTCTCCTTCTCAAAATAAAAATTTACAAATTCACCATGTAGAAGAATTGAGGGCAATAAGTGATTCATTTTTAACAGAAACTGAACCAAAAGTTCAGCAGTTACATCAAAAAAATGTAAGTGAGAACGTGTTGCAGTCTGAATGGGAATCATTGAGTCGTTTTATAAAATGTCCTGCCACCACTAGAGCCCCTGCACGTGCAAAAACTCAAGTAGGGAAACTAAGAGATTCCTGGCAACACTTGGGCAGAGATAAAGCTACAAGAACATTAAGTTACAATGATGAACAATTTCATATACTTGAGAAGATCAAAATAACTGAAACAGGTAGAAGAATTAAGGCCTTATTAGAAGATGAATGTCTTCCAGCTTTTAATCAGTTAGCAGATGCCTTAGGCGATTGGTTTAAGATTGCTCAAACAGTGTATCTGCAAACTATGATTCTTAAAAAAGATGTATTTTTGTATGATAAGAAACTAGAAAACTTTTTAGAAAAGTTAGGAATTGAAATTATGCAACTTGATGATGATATTAAACAAATCATTTCAAGAAGTGGAAAGTCTGCATCAGTTCAACCGTTCTCCAAACTACAAAGCAGGAAATTAAAATTAAGTTTTACTGAAGCGGACAATTTAACCAAAGAAATTTTGACGATAGTTAAGGAAAATTCAGAATGTATTAATTTGTATTCACAACTAATTAAGGAAAATTTAAACGGTGAAAATGAAGTATGATATTTGTTGTAAAAATGTTACGTTATCTTTAGGAAAGTTTCATAAAAAAAAAGTCGATTGTGTGTTATTTTTTGTCGCGAAAATTCAGACTTATGAAATATTAATAAAATTTAAAAATATATTAGAGCTATATTATTGCTCAAAACAATGAAATTATAATGTGGTAGTTCGATTAAATTATATGTAAATCAGTTTGTAAGTATTATACAATATGTTAAAGTATGAATATGTATTATATTTTTGGTAATTGTGCAAAGGATGCGACCCTCTCTTGGAAGGGGTAAACACGTTTAATGTCCTACAAGGTCATCCATCTTTTTTAGACCCCTTTTGAAAGGATTATCTACTCAATTACGCTAGTTTTAGTGTCAAATATTATTTTCAGATAGTTTTAAAGTATATAATGTGATATTTTGTATTCTTATTTGTAAGCTACCTTATTTTTTCATATTAATAATTCTGTGAAATTTTCTTTTTTGAACTAATTATGAAAATTTGAAATTTTTGAGTGGGAATCGTTCTTTAATGTTGAACTATGTGAGAACTATGTGTTCTCAGACTAATTACTTATTTAAAACATTACTTGAAAGTGTTACATTTTAGTAAGTACCATTTGAAGAAAATTTTATTCTGATTTGTGAATGCCTACAATATTAATTTGATGTAAATATTAATTCTTTACAATATACATTAAAGTACTATTTTCATCGACTTTTTTTATGAATATGAATAAAAGTTACAGTATATATGTGTTCAGGGATTTTTTATAAAATCATAAAAAGAAAATAATTATAAATTTTAAAACTGAATAAGTATTTTGTATTTTATTGTATTCCTGAATAGCTCTAAT